GAAAATGCCCAAAGCCAATAATAATTTTAACATCAAAGGAGGTCATTGAAAATGTGGACAGAAACCCTTGTAAAGGAAGAGCACATTAACAAATTGCCTGACGGTCTACGCAAACATCTTTTAAAAGTGGAAAGAGACTAGCAAATCACATTTTGCTTTTTACATAGCTTACCCTCCTTTCTTTTTTTCTTTTTTCTTTTTCTTTTTTTTTTTTTGCATAAGTTGCATTCACTGAGTGTGCAAGAAAACATATTTTTCTCAGTAAAAAGCCAAAGAAAATAAGTTGATAATTGAGCCCATAATAAGCTTGCATTAATAAGACGACTCTAGTGTCACACCGCTCTGATAAACCACTGGTGTGCACCGAAGGAGAGAGAAGGCTGGTGTGCCAATTCAGCCATGATTGTCCTGGAAGCAGTTAAAACTTTATAAGGTAAAGCACAAACGAGAACAATGCCTGTGCAGCTGAAATCGCTGTAGAATCTTGCTGCTGTTCATTAACCACAAGAAAGCTGGCAGAATCCCCTAAGTGAATTCCAACCTGGTATTCTCTGAGGGGCACTCATTCTTCTGTATCTTATTTCTTCAAAATAGACATCAGGCATTAGATAATCTCTTATCGACACATTTCTTTTTTATTCAGAGTGAAAAGCAGACCTCTCTCATTCTACTTACAAAATACCAGCTGTCAGGGGCCCATTTAAAAATGAAAGGACTTATCACCTTGTGTAAATGACAAGATTAATAATGTCTTGGGTTTCTGAGAACTTTATTCCACTTGTAGGCCATGTTAGGGCAGGCCAGAAGTTTGGATGAAATCATGTTCCTTCCTATGACACAGAATACATACACCCATATAAAATGTTATCCTAGAACACACACCCAGATCATGCTAATTATCATGAGTGGAAAGGCAGGTCTTGTTCAAGTCTAAAAGGTCAACCAACAAGAACTGTGCCTCAGTGATCTGTCTGATTAAGAGCCAATACGAAGAAGTATTAGAGAAAAACTTGTATCCAGAGAGCTATTCCACAAGTACACAAAGCTTATAAATGAAAACCGGCATTGTCTGAGGTGGATAAGGGGTCTATGGGCCATCTTTGATTTAGGTGAAGGATATAGAATGGTGGAGATATTAGGAAACTCATCCAAGGGAGAGGCAGGAGCACGGTGTCACAGAATCTAAAGGTATGCTACATCCATTCCTCAATTTGGTTGGTAAAAGTTAGATATCCACAAGATGTCAAAGGAAAGGCCATCAAAATATTTAGAATTAAAAAACAAAAAAAATAAAAAGGCCCTCAGTGAATCGCCTAGCTGTTAGGCCTACTTGGTCTTTAGCACGTGGATGCTCCTGGAAGTAAATGAAACCTCTGAATAATTAATAAACCAGGTTCATGGTTCCTCTGCCTCTTTGGTTCTCTTGAAGACTATCCTGGAAAGAGCTTTCGTCATCCAACTCTCTGCTTTTGCTCCTGCCCTGCTCTAACTCTCAGTGCCAGTGCTTGCTCCTGAGAGCAACCAGGGACCATTTGAGGTCATTATAGTGTAAAACTATTGAAGCACTGTCTGTTTCAGTAAAATGTTCTAACTAGATTCTGTGTGACAAGCAGCATAGCGATGTAGCACTATTCAGAAACTTTAAGGAATAAGAAGGGGGGAAATCATTAGGACTTCAGGAATAAAGGCCCTTAAGTGTGTTTAATGCATCTACACGTTTACGACTTGAGTGTGATTATGGTCTTAATTTACTGGTATCTTTGGTGTGGCCCTCTGTTACAAAGACAAATTACTATAGTCAATACCATATTTTCAGGTGGGAATACAGATATCAATTAGAAGCTGAAGCTACTTTAAAATTATGGTTTAGCAGTTAACACTCGTGTTTTCATAACTTGGATCTCTAAAAACATCGCTGCAGTAATTTTGAAACAACTTCCACAAAGATAACTCTGGTTTGGAAAAAAAAATAGTAAAATAAAAGAATTCACAGAAATCTATTGGAAAATTTGAGCTCAGAAAAAAATTCCCTCTAATAAAATCTCATACAGAGGTATTAGAAAAATGTTAATTGAATGGCCTTTGTTTTTATGATACAAAACAGATTACATCTTTTACCAACTTTACTTGAAAATTAAAATACATGTTGCTTCTAAGTCTCTTCTTCACCACACCCACCCCTGACAAATCAAATATGGGTGTTATCCAGTATATATATCCTACCTGTCCCACTTTTATAAAACTGTACTATTATATTAGCAAGCACATTTATTCTCTTTGCAGAACTCTTTCACATGATGATAAAACATTCAAACTGATTAAACTTGATCACTAACATTGATCAAGTATTGTTAGAAATCCGCATCTTTGCAAAGTAAATTCTAATTTACGTTATCTCATTTTGGTCAGAGTCATCTTTCCTTGTCTTTTATAGATACCTTGATCACTACAGTGGTTAGACTGCAGTTGAAAGAGTCATTAAAATTCTTCTTGTTTATAGTTCAGGACTTATACCTGTCATGTTACTCAAATTCATCTTATGCATTTGAGCTCTACCTAAGAATCAGAGCAAAGAGTAACAGTGTTTACAATTTCTAGCTTCATGTGCTTTCATGTTGTACAGGTGAGTTGGTGCTGTTCATGCTTGGTAATTCCCCCTGACCCAGGGTCTCTCTTTATATCTGGATAGTAACTAATATCTCACACAGCGGGGTGTCCATGATGAGTTGTGCTTATTCACCAGTTGGCAGCTCCTATTCCTCATGGAAGAGAGCAAAAAAACAGACCTAAGGAATCTCTTCAGTCAGCTCTTTTACCACTGTACCTAGTCTTAACGTTCACATTTCAAAGCTGTCTGGAATTGCTCGTCTTAATTGGCCTTTAGAAATATTCATACATGCTTATAAGAAGGATAGGTTTATAAAATATGCACACACTATTTGGGTATCTGTTCTCTTTTGTCTTGTCCACTGAGCTAAGTGTGATGGTATGCTTCTATGCCTATCACACAAATCTGACTTTTACCTCTGCCTTTTCTCTTGTTTTCTCTGGGTGAATTTGCTTGACCATGTAATGTCAATTTCACAATTATATTATCTGATATGCACTCTGTTACCACCTTAGATATCTGCCAGCATAACACATACGTTTAAAATGAGTACCTACAGAAATAATAGGTATGTGTTTAATACTAGCCTTTTATGTTTCCCCTGATTAACCATTTTCTCTAGTTCTTCAGTTAAAAAAAAATAAACATGCTATTCATATTTGAAAGTATGAAACCTACATATTTTCTTTTGAAAGCAATGCATTTTATAATGTGTACCTCAAAAGAGACAATGTTAAAATTATAAATACCTACTCTAAAAAGCAATCTAATTAAGGTTAGAAACAGCAAATGGTTTCCTCAGTTCATGTAATCAAAATCCCCAATGACAAGGGAATATTTATTATAAAATATTAGACACATAAATAATAAATGAAAAAATGAATTTGGCACAAGTTTGAATCTTCAATCACCTTTTCATTGATCCTGCAAAAGTTTTAACTGTCTAAGGAAATAGCCCTATTGTCAGTAAATGTGGATAACAAGTCACTATTATGATATAATTCTATCATTTCATCTTACAGCTTCTTTTTGAGCTCCTTTAGTTCCTTTTTTTAAGGAAACACAGCACACACTCATTTACAAAGCCTATGCATTTCCCACATCTACAAATAGTGGTGCTCAAAAAATGTTTGCTGTTGATGTGACAATAACTCATATGACGGACTTGGGATATTTTCTGCTCACAATCAATAGCTAATTTAATAATGTTTTCCTTTGTCAATAATGCCTCTTGTTTTCTTACGGCAAAGGGGAAAAAAACAATTGATTGGTTTAGTATTTTTATATATGTTGAAGATTTTTAAACGATTCCCATTTAAACCTAATTTTACAATTTACTACCTCTTATACAGTTTAGTCAGTAAAAATTATCTGATAGTTGGTAAAATGCCAAAGAATAATCTCATAATTATGATTGAAACAGAGTCTTAGACTATATGACGCTAGCATTACTTAACAGCTTTCAATTGAAAACATCTAATTTAAACTTTTCTTTTTTCTTGGTGGTGATTTCCATAGGAGATTTGCCAAGCAACCATTTTAATATGGTCTTTGAAACAAAATTTGATTTAGGTAACCATTGGGTTAAAAGTTATAAATAATGATAACATAATTAAATTCTAACTCAACGATGTTTATAAAACAAAAATTAACAGGCTGAACTTTTTGTTGTTTTAGGTACTGTCATACTCAGTTACAACATTCATAACCTAACTTTATAGAGTGCAAAATATGTTTCATGATATTTTCATGATCTTATTTCATAGTTATTATTATTAAAGTTAAGCTCATTGCATGGCCCTCCATAAAACAATTTCCAGCAGAGATATTTTTAAACTTTTCACATGTGCAAAAAAAAATATATATGGTATTTTGGTTAATCTCACTTATAATTAGGCAAGTCAATATAAAATGCATAATCAGATAACTTCACATATAGAGCATACAGATAAATCTATCTACTATTTCAAATAAAATCTATACAATATTCCAAGTATATCACTTGCAATTTCTGCATAAATTCAGTGCTCTTGATTAGCTCAATACTTTCTATGAATGTCTCCCTGCTATGATGGTAAAGAATAAAAGGTAAAGAATAGCCAGCCACAATTAGTCCTCAGTTTTCCAAACCTTCAATCCCACCCCGAAAACAAGAACATTTATGAAGTTCACGAATACAAAGTGAATGAACTACCCCCCAAAAAAAGTAGTAGTGAAAGAAAAGTCCTGAAAGTGACCTTATTCTGCATCTTACTTATATTTGTGCATTACCTTTCACCATATCAACAAACAGGCCACAAGGTCTACTGCAGTTCACTGTTATTTTTATTCTTCAGGCTTCACTGATACTTTAGTGTTCTCAAAGAAAGACAAGAAAATCTTTACAACATACCTGGTCATTTATCTGGCATGCAACGAGGTTGTGCTGATCATAACAGCCAGCGAACCTGATGTACTTGAGCCAGCTTCCTACATCTGGTTCACTCGCATCTATGCAGAACTTCACATTGCAAAACTCGTCTAAGATCTAGAAGGAAGAAGAGGAGAACAATCAGTTTCTACATCAGTTCATTCATTAGAAGGATTATCTGCCTGAAAACATTTTATTCAATATAGCTTCCTCTTTTGAATCTTTAAAAGAAAAAACTCAGCATTAATATAAATAAAGGAAGAATGTTATCTTATAAGTGACAAAGTACTGTTTTTTAAAGGAGCAAAGCAATTGTGAATTATTACAAAAAATTTAATTGTTTTTAAAGATGTTTATTTCCTTGTTATGCATGAATAAGTGCTATTGACTTAATTTTACCCAATGTGATTTTTACAAAAAAAAATACTGAGCAATGTATATTAATATACTATTTCTAAACTAAACAGTCACTATTTTAGTTTAAGATAGTGTTTCCATGTAAATGTATACCTTCACAGTTTTGCACTGTAAATTAATTCAATTTAAAAACTTTCATTTAAATATTATGTTCATTTTCAGTGTTCATTTCACTACCATGAAATGAAGCCCTGAGCTGAAGAAGATAATAGAATTTGTCTCCTAGATGCTTCTGTCCCAACTAAAGAAAACCAAATAAAAGCAAATGATTGGTACACATTCGTGAAAAATGTGGCAACTTAATGTTTTAGTTAACACATGCCAATGCATATTTTCATTTTACGTTTAGTAAGCAAAATAATAAAACTGGCTTGTGGACAAGTAAAAAAATAAGACTATTGTAGTAAATTGTCATCATTATAAATGATTGCGTATTGTTGTTTTTCATGAGATTTTTACATCCAGCCTAGAATAAATATTAATGACTGAAGACACCCAGTAAACACACACTGAAAGGGGAAATGTCCATTTTTAAGGTTTTGTTGTCCTTAAATGAAACTATTCTGATTCAGCAGCAGCAACAATGTTTTAAACATCAACAATATTAAAAGCTGCAGAGTGGTTGACCTGACCGTGAATAACTAGAAAGGCTGGTAATGCTAATGTCAATCAGTTCATGCAAACTTCAGGAAGTTTCCTATCAAAGACTAAACAATACAGGCTAGAACAACAACAACAAAAATTAATGCGTCCAATAAGCCCCACAGAACTCTGCTGTGTCTATACCTACATAAAAGTTAACACTAAACCCCTGGGTATACAGAAGAAAAGCGATTTTGCATAGAATTCAGGTAATCACCCAGTTGCAGATTCAAGTCATTAACTCACCACAAACTTCAAGAAGAAGCCCAGTGCTCTGAGGGCTCTGGTCAACAGGCACTGGGGATAAGCCTTTGGCCAGGAGGCAATTAAAGGGCAATAAGTAGTCCCAAGATTTAAAAAAGAAAAATTAGGACAGAAGATAGGGACAATAATTGCTACACATACACACACACACACACACACACACACACACACACACACACTTCTTTTCCAAGGACACTTCTTCGCACTAAAAACAACAAGTCTACATTAAATACACTCTCTAGTGAGGACAGAATTTTAACAATTTCTTATTATCACATTACAAACTTAGTGTGTGTTTTTTTCAACTCTCCATGCTAACTCAAATGGCAACTTGAGATGCCCCCTCCTCAGACCCTAGAAGGACCATCACTAACAATAGCAATCCACATCCTAAAATAGTAAGAAGTTGGGATTGTTGTTTTGTTTGTTGACTGGTTGGTTTGGTTTCTAGATCTTTTGTTGTTTGTTTTCTTGACTAGCAGAGAGAGAGAGAGAGAGAGAGAGAGAGAGAGAGAGAGAGAGAGAGAGAGAGGCAGCTCTACTGACACACTAGAGAAATATTTAATAAAGGAAATAGGGTGAAGTCAGTGAAATGCAACACCAGATCCATTTCATATTTGCAGAAAGACGTGGAAAACTTGCTAATTTCAGAGTCAAGAATCATCTGTCCCCTTAGCTTTCGAGTATTCCCTTTTGCTAGGGGGCAGGGAGGTTAGGGGTTGCATACACTACACTTAAAAACCCTGGGTGTAATTGTATTCCGTGTTAACATTATTGCCATTGCACTGTCAACAGCGAAATTAATTTAAAAACAGGTTCATTTCCAAAGAATGGGATATATATATATATATGTTACCATGATTATTCAAATATTTCATCAACCTATTAACTTCCTTACTCTCTGTAATCTTGCCCCAGGACAAAAGTTTAACTTTCGCCCCAGACACGTATATCCCCCTCCCCTGGGCGAATTATTTACTTTTGATTTGCTAACAGAGCTGCGTTTGTCTCCCCTTCAATGTCTTCATTGGAAATCCCGAATCAAATAAAGTCGCAGCACATCTCCCGTCATTGCACCTAACATACACTCCTGTGTTTTTGCAAAGCTTTCAAGTTCCAGAGATAGCTTGAAGAAGAAGAAGAAGAAGAAGAAGAAGAAGAAGAAGAAGAAGAAGAAGAAGAAGAAGAAGAAGAAGAAGAAGAAGAAGAAGAAGAGAGGGAGGGAGGGGGGGGAGAATTCCCTCTAGGTGAACTTTAGAGAAAGGCCCTTTTCAAAAAAAAAAAAAAAAAAATCCAACAGCAAAAAAAGGGGAGGAAAAGAGAAAGGGGGAAAAAAAAAGAAAAAAAAAAACACACACCCCACAACCTAGCCAAAGGGTCCGAATGTGACTTTCTCGCGGAGCAGAGCAGCACACGCGGTTGGACAGCCGAGCTGTTCACTTGGCAAAGGTGGGACTGGCCCGAGCGCCGCTCCAAAGTCGCGCGGCCGCTGCCAGGAATTCGGATTTTGGCAACCCCACCTGGTGCGTCCCAGAGACAGACACCCCGGAGGGAGGGAGGAGGGAGGGAAGGAGGGAGGAGGGAGGGAGGGGAGGCAGGAGGAGAAGATCGCGGGGAGAGGCAGGCCGGCAGCCGGCAGCGAGACCCACCGAAGGCCGGGCCACCCGGCCCCAGGCCGCCGGCCCCGGGCGCAGGGGAGCGGCTGGGCGCCCCGCGGCTGCGGGGCGAGGAGGGGAGGGAGGCTGGGGCGCGGGGGCGGGGGGCGCCCGGAGGGAGAAGGGGTGCCCGGGCAGGAAACTGTCCGAAGTTGCAAACTATGCACAGCGCCAAGACTCTTTCTTTTTTTTCTTAATCTCTTACCTTATGGTTTCTACGGCCTCAACCTCAGCAAGACAAGGCGATCGCAGAAGAATGAAAAAAGAAAAGAAAACAAAAACCACAGACAAAAATCAAATCGCCAGCAGCCCCCAGCTGTCCTGCAGGACACAATCCTTTCAAACGATGATCCCGAGCCACATTTGAGAAAAGGAAAAAAAAAAAAGAGAGAGAGAGAGGGAAGAAAAAAAAAAAAAAAAAAAAAAAAAAAAAAAAAAAAAAAAGCCTCGCGTCTCCGTGTCCGAATGGGGTTTCTGATAACTTTGTCCGCCTCTGGGATCTGCTCGCCGGGGCCACGCGTTTTCAGATTTATTGTCCGCCAACAGTGTGTGTTTCAAAAAAAAAAAAATCAGAACAGCAGTTCTCCTCTCCGTCTGGGTGACCCGGGTTTGGGGTGTCTGGGCTTTCACCCCCCCACACACACACACACCCCCACCCTCCTCCTCCTCTCCCCCCGACACTTCTCCCTACGAGAGCGGAGAGCGGTTCCTCCCGGTTCGCATCACCTCCCTCTTTTCTCACTTTCTCCCGCTCTTATCAGCGCGGTGCGTAATGAAAGTTATCTGAGACCCACTAAAACTTCTTCCCGGCTCTCTCCGGCCGAAGGGGGTGCGGGGGGGGGGGGGGGGGGGGGGACAGGCAGGAGGAGGAGGAGGAGGAGGAGGAGGAGGAGGAGGAGGAGGAGGGTTTGAGAAGGTGGGAGGCCTGGGGAGGCGCGGGGAGCTGAGCCCCTTGCAGGTCCCTCCGCAGCAGCAGCGCCGGCCCAGGTCCTAGACCCGCGCGGGAGCGTCCCCTCCCGCGGCGCCCGGAGCCGCCCGCCGCCGCCGCCGCCGGGGCCCCGCGCCGGGCACTGTCTCTTTAAAGGGGATCTGCGCGGCCATCCAGAAAGAAGCCGGGGCGAGGGAGAAAGGGAGCTATCTCCCGCCGCCCGGAGGGATCGGAAGCCAGACGGGCTCCTCTTTCAGTAAATTTTTAAAGTGACAGCAGCCTCCCTCTGGCGGGAGAGGTCACTCAAAGGTCGCCCAGACCCAAGTCCCCGCAGGGACGGGCTGATTAGGGATGCACCATTCCCTGGAAACATGTAAGAGGTCTCTGGGTAAACAACCAATGGGGGAGATCTGCTGGCCGGGCAGGGCTTCTTTCCCCAGGGAAATAGCCTCTGTTTCAATGCCCGCCCCCCCTCCATCCACCCCAAAGCACAAGTGTAAGGCGTGTGTGTGTGTTTGGGGTGGGGGGTGGGGGTGGAGAAGTGTTTGGGGCTGGGGGGGGGGGGCAGATGTGCCTGAGGGTGTGTGTCCCCAGGATGGGGGTGGGGCGCTGGAAGGGCAAAGAGGAGGTTTTGGGTAAAGGGACCCTGGCTCAGGCTAAGCATCCTTCCTTTAGAAATCCTCAGAAAACAGCAGCCTTGAGAGTGAAAAGTTGGCATTCACATTTCAATGTTCTAAACATCTTGCGTTATTATGGACACTCGTACTCATTTATTTCCTCCGTTATTATAGTTTGGGCTGCAGAAGAGCAGGTTCCCTTTTCAAATTATATATATATATATATATATATATATATATAGTAATTTAAAAATCGGAAATACAATTTGCATATCACCTACTCAAATAATCTATCGCTGCCTTAGAAAGACTGACGATTGTTTGGCGAATTTTTTTTGCCATATTCTTTGATGCACTAATTAAAACCCGATGAATGCCGAAAACATGAAATTAAGAAACCTGACAACTCCTTCTTTTTAAACTTTTAACATTACAAATGCTGCCTCTGGTGATCAGTACGCTACGGCGATTCATAACTTTTATAAATGTAGATGGTCCATTTTTACCAACTCATTTCAGAAAGGACATTGGAAGAAATAATATAGGGAATGTGGGGCGAGGTAAAAGGGTCTATGGATTTATTGTAGCCAACCA